AGAAAATGAGTAGGTGTAGAGGAAAAGTGTTTTTTTTCTTTTAAATATGTGCATGATAGAAAAAGAAAATAAACACAAAGACTAATAGATTTTTACACCTAAGAACAAAGCCTAGATATTATTTTTGTAAAATATATCTTCATTTAAAACAAACATGTTATTAGCAATATTAGCAAATAATACTAATAAGAAATTATAGAAGCATGTGCTAAAAAGTTGTTTGGATGCAACTTTTTTTAACTATAGAATTTCTATAGTTACACTGAGATAATGGGCTACCAGCCCAGGATATTCCAGAGCCCAGTACAAAACCACTCTTGTATATAAAAATGCTTTTACTTCCAAATTCCTGGAATTCAAAGCCTGTGAATGACTGAAATAAAACATTCCTACTGATTTCAGTTACTTTGCAAGTGGGTATATAGTGTTCTGTGATTTTGCCCAATGATTGTATTTCCATAATTTATTTGGTCAACCTGGTGAAAATTTTTATTTCCCTAGGATATTAAAAGGTAACATTTACATAGTTGGATCAGAAACGACTCTTTTTGCCAACAAGAAGTGTCAAATTATTCAATTAGCAAGTCTATCCACATACATGCTGACACTGGTGCATGGCAGCTGGTATTTTTCAGAGCAGCTTGATTTATAGAGTACATTACACTATTCCTGTGCTTTCACATCCATTACGTCATTGACTCTGAAAGCTACCTTGTGTGGAGTGAAGAGTAGTACCTGTGGCTTGCAGGTAAGTGAAAACTGACAATCAGAGCGTCGGAGTGTGTCCGAGCCAACACCGGAAAGTCTCTCCCAAAACACTTACAATGAACCTTCCGGTTTTGTTGGAGCAGGCGTACAGCCGAGGCGGGTGGTCTTCAGCCTGGCTCTCAAGCAGGGGAGAGGTCTGGTAGTGCTTTCTCCCTCCGAGGGAATTCCAGAACTCCTCTGTGGAAGACACACGGAGTTACCCGACGCACTTCCAGGAGCACCTGGCTGCTACTGCGTTACATCAACAAATACTATCTTACCTCGACTTTAATGTTAAGAAATTATTTAAATACAGCAGGTATCATCACCCACTTTGGCAACTAATGGATTCTTATGCCCCCTCCTCCACCAATAACCTTTACCAAGTAACTATTTATGGAAAAAATAAATTACGTCATTAGCACTCCTACCAGATGTAAGTTCTGGTTAGTGGCCCCGGCCCCACAGCACACACCTGGCTCCTCTCCCTCCTGAATCCGTGTGGTTTTGCATCTGAGCACACTGGCCACGTGCTCCGCCCCCTTCTCCTCCGCCTGGCTGGCACCTTTTCCTACCCAGATGTAGCCATTATTGTGTCGCAGTTTCAGGACAAAAACATCATTGGAATTCAACGAATTTGCATCCACATCTACCTACAGTGTGAAGAAAAACAACACAATGGGTCAGACTCATTGCTGCCCCTCAATAAACATGTCAGAGAGGTTGGGACAAGCCATCCTAGCCTTCTGTCCCGCCTCCCGAAAGCTTGTTCAGGGCAGCACGTGGCAGCACTGCAGCTTAAACACATTAGAGCAGGAGCACTGCGGTCTGTGTCAGCTTAACTCAACTGCCCACAGACAGGGGCACAAGGCTCTAAGAACAACATTAGCCAAACTTCAGTGATAAATAACAAAGATAATATTCAAAGGGACCATAAGAACAAGGATAGGCTCTAATGGGGAGGAGGGCAGGTAGGAGGGCATAAGCTTTACAAATGACATAGATAAGGCAAAGCTATTCAGTTTTCTCTCCCCTGCTAAACAGGAGGTTTATCAGATAACCAAAGGGACACCTTAAAATCACAAAACAGGGACTGGAGTCCAAATTAGGCAAAGAGATAATACTATAGATTCACTAAAAAGGGCTCCAGGCTCAGGTAAATTATTGCTCAAATTATAAGACTATTTATTGGGGGTTGAAAACACAGCACTGACATGCCCCTTCCTTTCAACCGAGACTCGGTGGCCACTGTGTTGGATCGGCCTGGTGAACAGTCTGCTCCATGTGGCCACTGGGAGTGAGAGGGACCAGGTGGGCCCAGACTCTGGCTGGAGACTGAGGCTACCGGGGAGCCTCTGGGCAGGAATAGGCATGTGCAGAGTCTCGGGCTTGGTAGTGAGCCTGAGCGTCTGTCTAGGTGGGCTTGTGTCTCTGGTCCAGGACCTTGTGATGTTGGGACTCTGTGTGAGTGCCAGTGAGGCCCTCTGGCTCTGTGACTGCGACAGTGTGTGTATCATTTCCTGTGTGACTGTGGGACTCTATGTGACGTGTGAAAACAGGGAGATGAAAAATGAGTCAGCAAAACTGAGATGGAGTGACGAGGAAGGAAGAACATAGGAGTGTGTTGTTCTTGAGGCCGAGTGAAGGAAGCATTTCAAGAAGGAGCTGGTTATCAGCTGTGCCAAATGGTGCTGTTTGGCCAACCATGTTGAGGTACCAGCCAAGGCATGGACTCTGTGTAGAGTAGGATTTCACCGGGTTTGTCAGGACCTGTCCCCAGAGAGCAGTTGAGGAGGAAGGCATGGCTGTTGGAAATATTAAAGACGTGTCCCAGG